TTATCCCCTACAGTCCATCATAAGTAAAGCAATTCCTTGCTTTGGATATAAAAAAGGGTGGCATCTTGAGCATCTGTCCCATCCCAGGCTGTGCAGCAGGCCCTGATGTCACAGACAGTGGGGTGCAGCCTGTGGAATGCAGTCAAGTACTGCAACGTAGCTGTCCTGGGCTGCAGAAGAGGTGACTAACAGGAGAATGGCTCCCGGGGAAGTCACTGGTCCTCATGGTGGAGAGGGAGCAGGCTGGGATGAAGGAAGTGGTGCTGGAAGTTTCCCTTCAGGGAGAAACGACCCACAGCACAACCTGCTAGAAGCAAGAGCAAGTGGCCTGGAGTGGCTGGGCCACTCAGTGTGTTCTGTTGCTTGGCGAGGGAAGCTTGCAGAGAGGTGTGAAGGGGCCTGATTTTGATTCAGAAGTTTCCCTGTGTTACACCAACGGGGTTCTTTTAACTGGGAAATCAATGAGGAATCAAGAATTCTAAGCAGCACATTTCCATACCTGATTTCACAAAGGTTGTGCTGGCAGATGAGACCAGGTCCAGGGAAACAGGTTTAAGAGGTTGTCCTTGTGGTCCCGGGGAGGCACTGAGGATGTGAACCATGCACGGGCAGTGGAATGGGAGTGAAGGGGACCATCTTTGGCCAGGAGAACTGACCAGCATCCTGACCAAGTGATGTAGGGAAGGAGGGAAAGAGAGGGCCCAGGAACACACCCTGCTTCTGGCTTGGACAGCGGGGAGATGGTGATCATTCACACAAATAGAGGAGGCAGAAGGAGGAGCAGATGTTGTGGGGGAAGATGGTGCACTGGGTCTTGGACATGTTGTGTGGCAATGCACATGGGAAATCCAGCCAGAGCTGTTCAGCACGCAGGCATGTGCAACAGGGGCTCTCCAGGGAGCTCTAAAAGCTGCAGCTATAGCTGCTCTGAGCTTCTCAAAGGAGACTGCATATGATAAGGAGAGAGGGGCCACTGTAGATCTTGGGGGGGAACCTCATGTTTCAATAATGGATTAGTGAGGGGCTCATGAATGGACAGGGAGAGTAGGTGGGAATGACCACATGCAGGGCGGGGCTGCAGCCCATGGTCTGAGTGGGATCCTTGTGGCTGAGGCTGGCTTCACCTCTCCCTTTCTGGGCACACAAGAAAGCTCTGTTTTCCTCCTCCTGGCATCTAGGTAGAGCCAGTGATGAGGATGTGAGATGAGGTCATATACAAATATGAAAGAGGTCATGAGCAAATGGAGGGCCAGGGAGATAGCTCAGTAGAATAAGCATTTTTCTGGCAAGCACAGGGTCCTGAGTTCAATCCCTGGTGCCGCAGGGAAAAAAAAAAAAAAGCAAATGGAGCAGAGTTACCTTCTTCACGATCTTCTCTCTACCCATGATCCTTTTGGAGGCTTCCTATAACTGATGTAGCTGGCTGTGGGGGTACACACCCATAATCCCAGCACTCTGGGAGGCTGAACCAAGCACAGCACAAGTTTGAGCCCAGCTCAGGCCGGGTAATTCAGGCCAAAATAGAAAGCAGCCACTGATCTTGGCACACCGCCCACTTGTTCGCCCACTTGTTCCTGGAGTGACCTATCCTGCTGCCGGATGCAGCTTCTCTCTTTTTCCTTCAAAGCACCTTATCCTCCCTGAGCATTTTTTTTTGGGGTGTGTGTGTGTGTGTGTGTGTGTGTGTGTGTGTGTTTCTTTCTCCTTTTCCTTTTCTGATTTCTGCTCTAAAATAAACAGTAATCTTTTACATTCACCAACTGTTTCAACCAATTCATTAATCGAGACAAATAAGAACCTGGAAAACACTGCTGGTCCCTACCCCATTGGAGGACATCAACATAGTGTAAGCCCAGAGGAGGGGAACTTACAGCAAGCCTGCTACAGCTTGCTGCTCTTACTGAAAGCTCTAAAGGTTCACCATCAGTGACCCATCCCATCGTTCCTAATCTGGGTTCTGACTGAGGTCAGACGGCTCAGTGTGATCTCAGGTTCTACCTCTTTTGCTTTTCTGTTTTTGTAGTGATGGGAATTGAACCCAGGGCCCTGTGCATGCTGAGCAAGCACTCTGCCACTGAGCCACCCCAAGCCCTGGCTTCTGTCTTCTTTCTGTTTTGTGATATAAGGCAGAAATTCAATGCTCATAAAATGGTCACTGAATACACATGAGATGTCTGGCCAGCCACGATGCACAGACATTGGTCATATCTGCTTATTTGTGACATACCTGCATTGACAACAAGAACAACCCCATCCCAAGAACACGCTGGCTTGGATGCCAGCCATGGCCCAGGGGCATGAATGATGCAGAAAAGCTTTCAGACATACTTCTTTAACAACAAAGGCTAAGCAGGGAGTGGGATCATTTGCCAACAATTTTAGATCATTGAAACATGATAACAGGGACAGGAAAATGACCCAGATAACTGTCTTCAGTTGTATTCAAAGAGAACATATATTTAAGTCTCTGGCTGTGTTCTCCTCAGTCTTCATTCCCTTTCAAAGGTTAGAAATAGAATAGCAGCGCAATGAACTTGGAGCTGGTGCTCAGTACATGTCCCCAGTGTACTAGTGGGAGGCACAGAGGCATGGCAAAGTCTTGGCCAATACTGCTTTGTTTCTATCCTAGTAACTCTGGACCACAAACCTTTCTTTAGTTATCTAATTAACTGGGTTTAAAATTTTTTTTAGACAAATAACACATTTTAATGTAGAAAAATAAAAAGATAGGTAATGGTCTTATCTAACCTTTCCAGATTTTTCACCCTTTGAAGATAAATTTGGTTACGATAATCTGTGCCACTCAAAAAAACCCAAGACCCCCCAAAAACCCAACTAAAAAAATTAAATTAGGTTGGCCCTAGCTATGTAGAACAGGTAGCTACCTATACTGTATGTAAATCTATACGCACTCACTTTTTTTCCCTTTTGGAGGGAGACTGAACTCGGGGCCTGCTACACTGCAAGCCAAGCATTCCATCACTGAGCTACATCTGTTCTCCTCATTTGAACTTTGATTTTAAAAATCTAAACATAAATCAAGTGTGGTGGCGCATACCTGTAATCCTGGCACTAAGGAGGCTGGGGCAGGAGTTCCAGCCTAATGGATGACATAATGATGCTAAGGCCAGAGTGGCCTACATAAAGCCTCAAGAGAAAAATGTCATTAAATTGATGCTATCAGAATCCTGCTAAAGATTCCATCCCACTCCCATCCCCTTCTGTGGAATCGAAGCTGGGCTCTGCATGTGCTTCACAGTGTTGTGTGGCTGAGCTTCTCCGCCAAGTCTAAAAGATTCCCCTTTGGACAGCAGCAGCTTCACAATAACTTAGAACTCAATCCAAGGATGCTCCAGGCAAAGAGTGTGGTGCTTTTTTTTTTTTTTCCCCACTAAAATATAAGCAGGTTTTTCCTACTGTTTCCTTTGAAGAGAATATTCTGCCAGTTTGGCCACAAGATCTTCACATATATATGGTGACATTGAGTAAATGTTTCATTCATTTTGGCTTTCTTGAAAGTACTCATGAAACATAGAGGAAGACTCATTTTCATGCTCCTTTGGCTTTCTAAATTCCATGTCTTCCCCATACTGAATGGCAAAATCGATATGCTGTAATATGATGGTCATGCTTTCTTCATCTGACTGATCATATGGTAAAAACTGGACCATGCTGTAGTCATCGATCAGTCCACATACAGCTTTAGTCATATTTTTGAATTTTTTGCTTTTTTAACCACTGGTTGAATCTTCTAAAAAAGAATACATGTGTGGATCTAGAAACTTCTCACTTTCCTTCTTAGCTTTCTTACTCAGCAGATACATTTTTGTCATGATATTAACTTGCAGGATTTCTAAAGAGATCATGGCACTCAGGGCGGCCAGGATGCCAGAAATAAACTTAAAGGACTCTACCATGAATTGAGAATCAACAAGGAAAACACCACAGACTTGGAACTCCCACTGTTCTAGATGCTGGACCAGCTGTTTTATCACAGGCAGGTAAGTATACAGCTCAATCTGACCTGGACAGTCAAAAAGAATGTAGTCATCTTCCACATGGCCAAGACAGTTCTCCAGCTAGTCAAAATTATTGGCGAAATACTCCAAGCAAAACACCAATCTCCCACTGGGACCAAACCGCAGGGGGTCATCCTCCATCACTCTGTCCACTTCAATCAGTTCCCGGATGTCAGCCATCACAGGGCAGTTGAAGTATTCTGTGGCCAGATCTAGGATTACCACGTGGACAGAGCTGTTGAGAGCTTCACAGTGCTGGACCATAGTGGCACAGTAGGTGCTTGGTGTGTGATCTTGGGCAAAAACTTAGAACCTTCTTTTTGCATCTTGCTTTCCTCTACCTTCCCATTCCCTGCTGGGCCCATGACCAGCTGTGCATACCAAGGCATGTTGGGTCTTAACTGTTTTTTTTTTTTTTTTTTTTAATGGTGTTTTTGAGATGGGCTTGCTACGTTGTTAAGGCTAGCCTTGAACTCATAGTGATCTTCCTGCCTTAGCCTCCTGAGTGGGATTATATGTGTGTGCCACCACACCCAGCAATTAGCTATTTATTTATTTATTTATTTATTTATTTATTTGTTAGAGAGAGAGAGAGAGAGAGAGAGAGAGAGAGAGAGAGGGGTGTGTGTGTGTGGCCAGCTCAGCCCACCAGGGGGCGGGGCTGGCTGGCATGTGGTGCTGGGGGATCGAACCGTGGTCCCTGATGCTTCGCTAAGCTTGTTCCAAGTAGGTGCTTTAGACCACTGAGCCATCTCTCCAGCCAAGCAATTAGCTATTAATTAATTCTGGCTCTGGGAACAAGGGAGGGCGAAAGAGCCAAACAGTGCATGGAATCTGTGCGCTACTACATTTCATGAATTATGTTATCAGTTGTCTGTAAAGATTTCACAAAATGATTTATAATTTTAATTTTCATAAAACCTTTACAAAATCTAAAACTCAAAGCCTCTAGGTAGAGAAGTATTTTTAGATTTTAATTACCTGGTCTTCATAATCAGATTCTGGGTCAATGATATCTCCAGGGTCCAACAGCATGGAAGGGTCCAGGTCCCCCGAACCTAAGTTGAGGAAGGATAAGATTACCTGCTGAAAGCTGTCTACGTGTGTTTGTGAAGCAAGCCACCTCCTAAGAGCATCTCTGCAGTCCTACCATCATGTCATCATGTTCAGTTCCTGAACATTGTATATACATTTTTTGGTACCAGGGATCAAATTCCAGACCTTATGCTTACCAGGCAGGTGTTTATGCTGCTGAGCTTTCTTCCCGGCCCTCCTGAACATTTCTAAGTCCTCCCATGGGCCAGGTACTGTCACTAGGCAGAAGACTGAAGACATGGGGACTCAAAAGGAAGATAATATTGAAAGGATAGTAGCATGTCAATAACAAGGCTGAGGAGCAAACTCGAATCCTAAGCATGGTGGGGAGGGTGGCACTGGATTCTCTCCAGGAAGCCAAACTCTTAAGTTTGAACCCTGCGGATGAACAGTGTCCAGGAAAAGTGGCACCAGGTGGGTACCAGCAACTGTGGTAGAAGTAGTAGAGGCAGTGCAAGGCATTCTGGGAGCTTGAATTTGGGTAACAGCCAAGGCCCATCTTCCTTGCACTGTTCTGAGAGGCAGAAAAGAAAACAACATAAATCCAGAAAGTCTCCATTGCTCCTCGCCTGGAAAGCACAGGAGTGTTTGAGCCCTGATCTGACCTTTAGTCACCTTTCACTTGTTCAAACTCTGTTAAAGGTTCATAAATGTGGACTGTATCTCATGAGTGTAATCGAATCAGAATGAACGCTGGGAAAGCCCTTGAGGAGACTCAGCACCCTGCTGTCATTCCTGTCATTGTCACTCTGAAACTCAACGAGGGGCAGCTGGAATGGGGTCACTGAAGTTGATTTATCTGTGTGCTGTGCTTCTATTACCCTGCTGCCCCAACACCACTTTTCTGTTTAGAACTGCCCTGGGCACCTCTCCCTGTTATCTACAATAAATGTAGCTGATTTTTCTTTTACCATGGACCTACACTTGCAAGTCACTGCTTGCCATGCATCAGAGCCTGGAATCTATCTGCCAGATCCCTTCTACGGTATCAGAGAGAACAGCAAAGTGTTTCCAAAAATAACATATATTTAATATTACAGAATATATTCTTGTTTGCATCTTCCATTTCGGAGTTTGCTCACCCCATGAAAGTATGAGAAATTTCCCCTCAGGCTTTTGGAGCATCTTACCCCTGAAGGTGAGAAATCAGGTTAACTCAGTGTATTAAGAGAGAGATTGTCTCAATTCTGAGCTACAGTTGACATTACATGCCTAACCATTAACCCCCAAGGCAAAGACTTCAATGGGTAATTTTCACAGCAGGTTCCCCAAGCACAACTGACTTGGGGTTCTCATTTAGCAAGTCTTTCTTACTGGTAAATACATCTCACCTAACTAGTCAGGGAGACAGAAGTCAGGGCTGCCATAAAGGATGACACAGACTTTCAAATAATACATTACCTCGTGTTTCACTGTGAACCTGGTCTTGCCAAGTAATTCTAGGTTAGTATAAGAAATGTTTAATAAAGATAGATTTTTTAAAAAAGGGACCAGGCATATGCCTTTCAGATGTGGATGCCCTCAAAGCTGTGCCTCACACTCTTCCAAGGCAAGGGCCAAGTGTGCCCTCTGTCTTTTCCCATCTCATTTCTTTGGAGCACCCTGCAGTCTCCCAAAGTAACTAAACCATTACCAAGCTAAGTACCTAGGGGTATCACCATTGTAGATTGTGTTTGTGTCTTTAATTGTCTTTCTTTTGTCTTTTTGAGACAGAGTCTCACTGTGCAGCTCAGGCTGGCCTTGAGCTTACTTTGTAGCCCACGCTGGTCTTGAACTTCTATCTTTCTGCCTCAGTCCCCTGAGTGCTGAGATTACAGGCATGCACCACAACACCTGGCCTCTTTAATTGCTTTTAAAGCATGAAGAAGTTTTCCAGAACAGAGTCCTGTCTCAGTTACCTTTCTCTTGTTGCTGGGACAAAATTCCTGACACCCAAAATTAAGGAAGCGAAGGTTTATTTAGCTCACAGTTTGTGCAAGTTTCAGTCCATACTCTAAGGCAGAGTGGCACATGGCAGCACTTCATGGCATTAGAAAACAGCACAGAGCAAAGGGAAGAGCAGCAGCAGCTGTCGCTTTCCTCTCTTTATATTATAAGCAGGCTACCCTGGGGTGGGGGTGTAGAACTCACACAATGTCCATGCCCTCCTCTTGCACAGGATGAGGATATTTACAGAGTAAGAACCCTGGCTTCCTGTTGAGTCACTTAAATGTCTAAACTTTTTGAGTTGACATTATGTATCAACCAGTATAAGGCCCCTGAGCCATGAAACTATTCTGGAAAAGTAGCCAATCACCCAGTTGCCACCTGCAGTTCCCAGGGGCTGGAAGATCAACTCTGGGGTGCCAGTCACAGCATAGGATATCCCCGCAGCTCCATGTTCTACCAGTCACGTGGGTGGTAAATACTGTTGAAGGTCAGTACAGAGCATCTTAGGTCCTACACACAGCCTGCGGCTCCTGTGTCTCCCAACACACTCTGCTGACTCCAGATTCTAAGCAAGAGGAAGCCAAATGGTTTCATAACACAATCTTGCCTCTCTCTACTGTACCCTACCAGAAAGGACTGGAGGGGGCACTGTCCACATTGTGGCATGTGGCTTGGAGGCTGGCTGGGGACCTGGAAGAATCAGAAGTGGATTCAGGGGTCTCTCTCAAGCTGATGACGATCAATGCTCCTTTCTGGGTGGCCATTATTGACAGTATCATGAACGGTCATACGGATTAGATTTAGCTTCTATTTCTTCCACTGGTATCTACTGTTAACCAGTGAAGTGGTGTACCCATTCAAATGCTGCCCTCTTCCCATCTCTACATGGGGCAGTTCACGTGGCCTTAGCAATATGATCTGCATCCAGAATCCTATGGAACATATAGCTGCTACTTGTTCTTGTATCCTACTCATTTTATTTAATTGTAAATTATTCTTCCAATTGTGTTCAGAAAGGACCATGTGAAGGGCTCTTAAACAACCTAGTTAACAGATACTGCACATTAATATTTGAAATGGGAGCAACATTAGAAAACTATTTCAGGAATGAGAGAATGAAGAGATGTTTCTGTTAATGTATCTCTTGCTTACAAGGCAAAAGAGATTGGATTTCTTAATCAAGTGCTTTTAACAGAAATTTTTATTCTACCATTAAGGGATGAAATTTCTCGACACACTGTTGCTCTTGACAACCGAAGTATTAATATATCACACGAGGCAACAAACAAAGGGTGTCATTATCAGGGTGGAGAATGATTGAGATTTCTTTTTCTTTTTTCACTGGTTGTTTGGCTGGCTGAAAATGGGACCTTTAGTGATAGTCCAAGGTCTGGTAAGGGAAAAGGGAGGTAAATACAGCAATGTGCACACATTTTTGACTTTTGCAGCAGACAAATTAGCACTTAAGACAACAGCAAGGACTTAGTTACTTGAAAAGACAGTGGGGCATTTTGAAAAAGTGATAGTGGGACTTTCATTTGTCTCTATTTGGAATTTCTCAATTTGTTTTAGACTTAAACATATCCTTTCCATAGATACCAGAGAATGGTCTGAGCCAAAAGGTAGCACCCTGCAAAGAACCTCAGTGCCACTGGGTCAGATGTAGTGTGGTTCTCAGAGAATTATTGCTTCAGGTTGCCTGTCTCCTTCAAAGGTGAAGACAGCACAGGCTGCGATAGAGGTACCTGGGTCTCACCACAACCCCCTCTGTAGTGCTGACAAATGGTTTCCTTCTACTGTATCTTCATTCTAGAGTTTGAGGGGGATTCCTCTCTCTCTTTAAAATAAAAGGACACTGTGAATACAAGGCTTAGGAAAATAAGACGTCCCCAGGACTATCTCCATTAAAGAAAGCACTGGCTGCCTGGTTCCCATCCCTGTTAAACTGCAAGCTGGCCTGTGAGTGTGTTTTACACAGGGTTTTGCCACCTCAGGTTGGCCTGGAGCTCACTTTGTAGCCCAGGCTGGTCTTGAGCTCGCATCAATCCTCCTGCTTTAGCCTCCTGAGTGCTGGTATTACAGGTGTGTGCTATCATGCCCGGCAGGGCTATGTTTTATCTCTGGATCTAAAAGCACAATTTTGAAGCTATCTATATTTGATACCTATATACCAAATGAAATGAATAAAATGACCTTTAGCTCTTATACCATTCATTCATTCCACAAACATGAGCACCTCCTTCTCTAAGTCCCTGATCTGCCTTCAGCTCTGAGAATCCTGCTCTGATCCCACCAGATATGGAGAGTGTTGCTAACAGTTTGTGTCAGGGGACTGGGGAGAAAGCTCAGTAGAATAAGTTCTTGCCTGGCAAGCACAAGGGCCTGAATTCAATTCCCAGTTCTGTCAAACAAAACAAAAATACACAACAATTTGTGTCAGGATCCCTCTGAGGAAGAGCACGGATTTACTGTGGAGAGCCTCTGACAGTCTTCTGGGTGGTAAGGAGAGCTCCTGAGGCCAACCTGCAAGAAGGGGAAGGGGATTTCTTAGTTACTCCAGGACGGGGTTTGGAGAAGGGAGAAGAGAGTAGAAGCAAATCTAAGATGTGGAAGGAGAGTTATACAAGATGAGATTGCTTTAGCATGGATGGCAACTCCTACATGGCCTTTCCAGTGTGGCAGTCACACTTCACATACAGCAGCCGACCACGTGTCCCGCAGTCCTGAGGGGTAGGTGCTACCACCTTGCCTGACAGACAAGGCTGCTGGAAGAAGCAACAGGGCTGCAGGGGGGAGCCTCTGTGCCGTGCCCTGTGGGATTCTCACTGAGCATGAGCCACACACACACACACACACACACACACACACACACATATTCATCCACATGGAGTATTGTACTTTTTAAGGGAAACAGCTGTTTAACAAAGAATCCTTCCATGGCTGATGATTATGGTAACTGCTAAATGCCTGGAAGGAGACACACAAGGCCCCACGATGCCATGGTCCAAGGATCTCCCTAGGCTGGGGTGGGGGT